CCTCGCTGGCCCTTTAAACGACGCACTGCAAGATGTGTGTACTTGTCCTCCTTTACTGGTTAGTCGGAGACTTGGTATTCAGCCAACAGTGGATATAGTACCAGGTGCCGGCCGATCTTTGCACTACTCCGTGCCGATGACTCCGGGTATGCCCCATGTAGCTCGCGGTTCGCATGTGAAACGGAGGACCTTCGTCCACAACGTTGGTGCATGTGTGCCTCTGCTATACGGTATACCTACCTCTCACTATACGATATGTTTCCTAAAACTTTCCGGACGTGGACCATCGTAAACCTTCTACCGAACAAAGAAGATTCCCTTTTCACGCCCACGTAGATCGAGAACTTTCATCAGTCTTTGGAGAGTTTCTCCCGTCTTGGCCCATTGATAATGATTTCCTTTCTAGATATCCTTCTGATGTCATCAAACCGTAAACACAATACTCTTGGTTGTGTGATGTCATCCTTTCTTGGCCTCTATTCTCGTCATCTGCATAAACATCTCTTTCGACGATAACTTGAACCACAAGCTTTCTCTTCTCCGTGCCAATCTCGGCTTGATCGCAACGCACTGGTTGACTTGCGTCATTCTACCTATAATAAGTTCACTCAAAATGTAAATTGTTGCACTCTTCTCTATCCCAATAAAAACTACCCCGGCTTCTACTGTCGATCTGCCTGTCATCTATTACCGTTGTGATAGGCCATCACTTCACGAACTTTCTTCGAGACTATTCTTGTGCAATGCTATCCGACTACTCCACCCGCACCAGTTGCACTCCACAGTGCCAGCATAGTACTTGCAGTAACCGCCTGCACGCACACATCACGAATCTCGTGCAAACCTGCTGCAACGCTCAGAGTTCAATGGAGAATCACGAGTGAGTTGTTCATCACTTCTCATTTTCATGGCGCTAACTCACGTTGAACTTCTCAAAGACCCTGGCGCTTCACAGGTTAGGGCTACGCTTGCAATTACCCAAGACGATTTAATAAATGCCAATCACAGTCGTGCGCACCCAAGGCATGCGCTTTATGCGCCCAGAGCGATCCTGGAGGCCCATAATCATTGTCGCAATCGACAAATACCAATCGCATGAGATTGTCATGGGCGTGGATGGCCAAAATCCAGACCTCAAGCAACATCTCGAAGTGTACGTCGTTCGTCCTGATGATTTTTTGCCGCCTGTTGATCTTGTGGGTCATCTACAGGCACCCGGTGCAAATGACGTCTCAGGTTAACGTCCAAGTCTGGCACCAGTCGCAGACAAAGAAAAAGAAGAAGAAACGCAATCTCGTCGCATCATCATCCCTATCGTTCGCAGAGCTATTACGGCAGCTGAGAACCGAAAACAAATCAGGCGAGCTGTCTCTACCATTGCGCATATCGCCTACCGTATATTGATCTGCTGATCTCTCCCTCAAATTTACAGACCTACCTATTCTTCTAAAATGCCATCACGCAGTTCAGAGACGGGGAAAGTCCCTAGATGGTGCTTCACTATTGCTGAGGGTCAATCCCCCTGAAGACGTTCGACGCAATCTTCTTGATATAGACGCGTCAGAGTCGACGAGCCTGGTATGCGAGTCAGGTAAGCCGCAGCCAGTCCCGAGCTCGAGGAAGTCTACCATTCAAGAAACATCAGATATATCATCACCGATCACTCCTCTGACACCAGTGGATGATTTATGGCCAAATGGGAGCAATATTTCTCGTCTACGCCGCCGTCGTGGGCCCGGCTACCATCTTAGCTCAGACGATGGGTTTTGCTCTTCACTTGAAGACGGCTTTGATGACCACAACTCGCCTGATTTCTCCGACGGCTGTTCCTTCTCTGGAGACGACGCCGGCGATGTCGATTTCGAGGATGATACTACTTTGCTGGACGACGAATCCTTATACGCCGCCCCAGGCACCAAGTGGATACAAGTCATATGGTCTTCGATCTTGCCACAGAACGGAGTGTCGACGATCGAGGTTCCTTTGAATATGACCGTTGCAGAGAGAATGTTGGCATCCTTCACGGCATATCGCGAGCTAAAGGAAGCGACTCTGGATTCGCAGTTCGAAAAGGTCTTTACGCAGCTGCAAACCGAATGGACATATGTTGGTGGCGTGGTGAGTTAACCTTCCCATTTCGTGATTCTTTAATGGCCTTGACATACTTCACTATCATGAGCTCGCGGGACTGGCTGCGTAAGTGTCTGATACATATGTTCTCCAACCGCATAATCATTGAATTTTAAATTGTTCAAGGGTGAGCACTTCCGTATTTGCTATTGCTCCAGAAGCGATCGTCAAAGTCGAATCAAGTTCTCGCAGCGCCATCGCGGCGAGTAGCGTGTCGGCTGGACTAGGCATCGCATGTGACTCATGGTTTATCCTCCGCTACAACTGGGCTGACATGCCTACCTTCAGGGTGTGTATTCGTACCTGACTATCCGTCCTCCCACTAACACGATCTCTTGCAGAGGAGGGCCCAGGACGTTTACTCTTCGTTCTTCTTCTTCGCTCTTTCTGCTCGCATGCCCGCGCTATGCATAGTCATTTCTTCTTTCTCACTGATGGTGTTTATGGCCTTAATTGCATTCGAGGTCTGGCCCGTTGGTATGCTAATGATGTGTTTCGGCATGGGGCTAGTGATGACATTACAATTCCTGGTTTATGGGGTGCACATGTGTACATTATGGGTGCTAGGTGCGGCCAGATGGATCAAGCGGGCGGGAAGGAAGCTCCTTGGACAGGAGATTCTGGAAGGGTCAGGATGACCGATTGAGAAGAAATACTACAACCATGGCCGTTCCACCCTACCAATACCTTTACGGCTCAGCCTCGTTCTTGTTCCTGAATTTGCTGTTCGGGTGCACAAGGCGTTTTGCTTCATGCTTATGCCTTTTCTTCCTGTGACGTTGCCAGGCGCCTGGGTAATTTATTCCAGAAAGAATACCAAAGTCTGGAAGCTGTGCCCTTGATTTCCAAAATAAATGAAGTGGATAAACAAGTCTTGCCCGGCCATCTTCCACTAGTAATCGCACTCTGAAATCATGCAATTACTTTAATCTTTGATTCTCTTCAAAGCGGACCCGTTGGATCCTTCGCGTTGGCCATTGTTTTCGCGGTGTGTTGTACCAGTAAGTACTTCTTGTGGTATTCAATATTTCTACAATCGACAATTGGTGAAATTTGGACGTAATCTTGACATTTGACTACTATTAGATCGTCCCCATGGACGGCAGTAGAACCTATTGTTGCTTTGGGCAATCACAGATGGTAGTGCACTGTGTGCGAAATCCGAACTCGATTGGGGTCGCGGGACTGTTTTTCTTATGAAGATGAGCTCGCTACAAACTCTTGTCCCCTCTAACTTTGGTGCCACACAAATAGGCGAGTTGTAGGGTAAGTGTGGTCCGTCGGTTCGACTCTCGTTGTGTGGTGGTCCCCGTACATCAATGCGGTGAACATCACCTACTCACGTAACCTATCACTAGCCATCAAAGATATGACGAACTCTTGGTTACGTTCCAAACAGTGTTCGAGGTCTCAACCTTTTGACTCTCTTGCGCCATTGTGATATTATTGATATTTATAAGCTTGTCGATGTATCAACCTGGGAGACAATCATCGTCATACAACACTACAATTGGCAATCCTCAAGTTGTTTCCACCCCAAGTTGTGAGCCGCCCTGCCCATGGCAAGCCTAGTACACACGAAACCCTTTCCCTCCAGACCCCCACACGGGACAACCTCATTGTCCATAGCAGCCCCACCCGCGACAACTCCGATTACACTGTCCACTACTACCGTCACTATTACGTCCCCTGATAAGATGTCAACTCAATCAATGCGTGTCTCCAAATCCACCGTCCTACCCCTTGCAACTACGGTTCAAAGAGCCACTTCTACCCTCCCAAGTGTCGCTTCCACCGTTCCAAGTGGCATATCCACCCTGGAACCACATCGAACCGATAGCGAGACACTGGCAAGTATTGCTAGCGATACAAGAATCGACTCCCCGACGTCCAGTTCCAAGTTCCTTATAACTTTTGACGCCTCAACATCGACGAGTACGTCCACAGCACACCAAAGTAGTGGTGGGGTTGCAGCAAGTTCAGCACACCCAGAGGGTGTGCCAATCGGTGTGATCACAGGCGCAAGTGCCGCTGCTGCTGTCGTGATCCTGGCGGTGTTAGGGTTATGCTTTATCCGGCGTCGATCGCGGAGAAAAAGTAAGTTTGACGGCCTGCGGCACCATTGCAAGTCTAATGCGCACCTTGGAAGATACACAAGTGGTGGTGAACCCATTTGACGGAGCTCCGGTCTCGATTGATGCTTTCAGCGATTCAGAACCTGTGGAAGGAATCGTGAACATGGAACAAATCAACGATAGCACAACTATCCTGCAGTCTAGAAGCGATGGTGTCATGCACAATGGCCCACACGTGGCCGAAGCGAGCCCATCATCGAACACGCCACACGCGCGGCACAACCAGCGCCGTAATCATCCCCAAACGGAAACCCACATCTTATCCCCGGTTTTGATTCACAAACCCGTCATCAGTACCAATGAGGTCGCGAGCCCGGGTGCACCCTCTGTGGTTCGAGCAGAAAACAGCCAGGACATCGACGAACAGCTGGTGCAATTGAGCGAGCCCCAGCCAGCGGTGGCCGCAGGGACCGGAATCCAGGAGTTGCATAGAGAGTTGGCGATGTTGCGGTATGAGATTAGCGAGTTGAGGAGATCGGGAGCAGATGTTCCTCCTGCGTATCCAGGGAGTGTGTATAGCAGTCAGTGACTCGTGAGTTGTCTGTCTTGGTCCTTGACGACAATCATTTTGCTGTATGGTTATCTGTTCTTTTGGTGTGGAAGTAAGTAGACCATTGTGAATCCTCAGACGCACACTCGAGAAGATCTAGAGCATGTTTGAAAATGGCATCCATGCGGCGCACAGAGGACTGGTTGTTCTACTCGAGCAAGGCGATTGTGCACAGGCTGTCCAATGGTGACATGGACGAGCAGTCTGAGGCGCCAGAACCGGGTAATGCACCGATTATGCTCCATCTGGTCTTCGGGGCAGGAGTTCGAATCTCCCTGTCATCACTCAGTGTCCATCAGATTATTGTAAGCCAAATCTTCCATCTTAACGCCAAGTTGTTGGGCGCGAGACTCTCGAGTCGGTAGTCGCGACGCGACATCATCACGTGTTGTATTTGATCATGCATGGGATCTGAATCGCGTCAAGAATTTTTGACTTGTCTTCGGCGTTCGCTTGGTCTTGATCTTTTTTCTTCTTCTTCTCCACGACCATATTCCTTCGCTGCCGAGTCCTAGAAGTTAGTGAGACGTCGACTGCAACTAATGCTTTTGCTGTGTCCATCAACGACGCTCCGGTCCCCTGCGAGCACCATGATCGCAGACGTTGAACATTTCGACTTGCTGTCAGTTAGCGGTTCGAACCTGGTGGTCGATATACTTGTAAGTACCCTACCTCACACGCCCATGCGTCTCAGGGCCTCATTCATGGATACTACAGCTATTATCTCGGTGTTGCCATTTTCTGAAGACCAATCATGAATGGCTTTTACACGCTCGCAACAATCATGGGGGAGCGTCTAAGGCTTTGCTATAGAGGAAACTAGATGTCCGAGTGAATTTTGTAAGTGCGGCTTCAAAGTTACGTTAGACTTGTTCTAACACCCATTTCCAGATTCATTTTTGGCTGCAAACACCTCGTATCTCGACGATCGCCACCGACAACTACTCCCCATATTACTTCATCTGATACATTTGGGAGATTACGATAGCGAATCCTCCTCGAGGGGTTAGACATCTTGTTCGGTCGTTCCTACAGCCCCTCTTACGCACTTTTGCAGGACATTAGATTCCCTTAAACAAGCATCTATGATGGAACATATCTGGGCTGTTCACGGCGCATCACACGCATAGCCTTCTCGTGCACGAAGAGGAGCCAAGATGGGGATCACTAGTACCATGGGAGTGAGAAATCCGGTGCAGTTCTTTGACGATCTTTACTATGACAAATTTTACTTACGCCTCTTGACAGAGTACTCGTCAACTTACAAGCTCTTTCGCCCGCCTTTGTTCTACTTCAACTACTCCAGGTTGAGCACCCTGCCCTACATCTCCATCATTGATATCCGCGCGCTTAGCACGGGCAACAAAGGCACATCGTCTACATGAACATGAACAAGCCGTCGGGGTGTCGTTTACTGAGATGTTCATCACCTTTCTTACTCATCCTTACAGGGTAGGAGCGCATGAACCCTGTGGGACTTTCCGTACGCACCATGGTGATCTGGGGATCTCGTGTAGTGACACCTACGCCTTCAAATTCCAAGTGACGTGTGGAGTGACTAGGGGTTGGTTTGGTAGCGATGAAGAGGTCTGTATACTCCTTTCGGGCGTCGTTCAGCCTTGCCGACACACTACCTGCAGCGAATTTCTCAACTTTTCCCTGCATCTCAGTCGCAGCGCAGCTTTGGCCCACTACCTCTCCTCTCCAGCAGGGCTTGGCTGTGGAGATCAGCTCAGACTATCCCGAAGAGGGGAAAGGCGATATCTGGGAATCACGATTCGACAGACACAAGGAAGTAAGAGTGATGGGGCTTCATGGATTTTGTACGTCCCTTCCGGAATTCTGCCGAAATGCTATACTTATCGATTTCAGCAGCTACGCTCTCTAAATTGTCCAGTTGACATCCTGCACAGCGCCAAGCATCCTCACCAGTACCGACTCTTGGTTGAAGCTGTTGCTGGGGAGGAGAATATGTAAAACAAGGGTTGGTATGCTTAACAAAATAAGCTTTAATTCCGGCTATTGGCTAGCACTGCCGCTTAGAAAGTTTATATCACGTAAATTATACAATCTTCGACCTAAAGTCTTGAATGGTTGAACCGTTGATTCTTGAACGATGCTATGGGACCGACTCTGTGTTTCAGCTAACCACTTTCAGTGGCAGAAAACATTGACACAGCCTCTCGAGCAGCGCATGCACGGCACATGAATCCACAGTCCAGGTATGTCTTATACTCGATTAGGTCACAAATGGTACAGCTGCTACGGCACGTTGCCTCACAATTATCATTCTGTAATTTGCGGCCGGTCCAGGCTTCAACAGCGGCCCTTCACTCGACGACTCAGACTTTGGGAACATTCTTAGCACAGTATAGAGGAGCAAGACAAGCTCGACAAATATGCCAATCGAGCGTGTTTGTCATCTCAATAGATAATGTGGCGTAATATGTTACCCTGATCTGCTGACATATCGACATGTCTCATAGAATGCCAGTATCTGTATTCAAGATCAATGGAGTGGTAAAGCTACCAGGGTCCTGTTTTGGTACTAGCATCCTGAAGTGGGCTGATAGATATATGATTAGGTGGCTAAAATCGTCGGGTTCTCCTTGACCCTTATATACCCTCAGATCCAACAACTGTAGTGCCAAGGCTAATTCGATCTTCTTCTGTATAAGCTTGGTGTGGCGGCTGCATCATAGAATTTCCACGAGAGTTATCTGGGAGCAATAGCTTTTGTTGAGGTGTGATATTGGTGTTTGCAAAGCCCCGGAATGGAACAACTGAACAATTTGTGAGTTCACTCTGAAAGGATGTTGGGAGGGAGAAGTACCTTCGGAGGTTCGATTGCGATTAAAGAGGACACGTAAGAGACTTTCAAGTCTTCCTTGACTTTGGTTCTCGAAAGGGAGTAAGGTACCTACACCAACCAATGAGGCTGGATTCTTATGGCGTGGATAGAGTTCACTATGGACAATCATGGGGAATGGATCCACTACATGCAGTTTAAGTTGAGATGCTTCGCTATTGGAAGCTTACGGACCTCCTTGTTGACTTGCCCGCCGTAATCGTCTCCGCCAACATATAACTATGAATATGAACAAACCAGATACAACGACAACGGCGAAAGCCCCCCCAAGGGTGGCCCCGATGAGCTGTGCGCGTTTATGCGAGGGATGAATATTATCAATTTCTGTTGGCTCCAAAGTCGCTGACATTCCTGTAGATGTTCCAGATGTTGTACTGCCTGTAGACGTTCCAGATATGCTAGTAGTCTGTGGCCCAGCGGTAGAATTTATCATGTCCAGCAGTGTGTTGAAAGAAGGAATATAGGTTATGTAGTCCACTGTAAGTACAGTGTCACCTATTCTGGTGCAGGTTATGTTGTATATGTGGTGACCGTCTGTGGTGTTGACATGGCAGCTGATGAAGGCCGAATTTGAACCTTCAGGGGCAAGTGATGGAAGCGATCCCTTTGTGGAGATATAATCAACGTCTTCATCACACCCTATCTCGAATTGGTATTCTCCAAAAAGAACTCCGTACATTACGGCAGAGGCACCTATGTAAAGGCAATATAAGTGGACTTCCTAGGTTGGGATAATTTTGCCAGACACACCAGTATACGGAAATGTTAACGAGGCAGAAGGGTCGCAGAATGAATTCATGGTCGAATTACGGTACCCCCATTGAGATCCGGCTTTATCTGTCCAGTAATTCTCCGCATATGGCCACCAGGAATGAGAATACATGATCGATGGATCACGGTTGTCAACAATCAATGTATGCCCCCGCAGAGGAGTGTTATTGCCTGCCTCCACCGTGATGTAGTCGACAACAAGCTCGGGAAAATCTTTGAATGTAATTGTATGCATATTATCAGTCAAAACTGGAGATTTGTAAAGCGGCATAACGAATGTTGTTTCTGGTATCGAAACTGAGACCGCTTCGCTATCGTCTACCAGGGCCAGAGGATTTGTCATTTTTGGCGACGTGGAGTTTCGTTGCCCATATAAAGTCAAAGATACACCTGTTCGAAATTGACGTGTAATTAATTCCTTGGGGTCGTAGCAAACCAGCAGCGGACTCACCAAAAAAGGACACCGTGTATGTTCCGCTGGCCACGATAACTGCCAAACCACCAATGTAGATACCATCGCTTATAGTGTCCAGAATAGAGACCCCTTTCAAGAGAGAGGTATCGTCAAAGAGAATGGTCGCCATGAGAGAAGTAAGATGAAGGTCAAAGGGGCTTTGTGCGATTATTGATCCAGAGACAACTTATTTGAAGCCCAAGATGAGTCAGGGGAGGTGATGAAGCTACTTTAAGTCAAACGGTTCCCAATGGATGATGCGGTGCTATTTTGGAAGTCCATATCGATCAGAATGTGCACAGGCTACGGTCAAGATCGAAGGGCAACGAAACTGTATGCTATTTGAGGGGGGGAAACATCATTATGAATCTCAACACGTGAGATACCAGGGCAGCTTCCCCTACAGGATAACTTCCTCATACCGTCGTATCGGCGCCACGAAAAAGCTTTCCGTCATCGAGATGTAAATTTGTATGTCCATCCAGCCTGAATTCCCGACTACTCACACCTTCATACTGCCGAGGGATCTCACGGTAATAGGTGTCATCCAACACCCGAGATGCGGCAATCATGATTCGGGGGTAATCGAAGGGAATAGAACATCTTGTTGATGAGGCTGCAGTAGTGATGAACACGCAGGATGTCACATGCAGATTAGCAGGTTATGCGTATGGTTTGCAGCGCCAATGATGAATATGAGATGTCCTAGGGCTCAAATATTGAGTACTGACGAAGTTGGGATGGGCGGATAGATGTCGAATTGTGTAGGACGACGGTCAAAGACTTCGCAGCTCGAATGTGGCCCCGGTCATGAAAGTGGCGGCAGCGGTGGGACGCGGATGAAGTAGGGAAACGTCACAGAATATGCCCGCCGCTTTAGGCTCTCTACCTTCCCCCCGCCCGTCTTCCCGAGGACGTGTCTAGCAGAACTTCTATTCCGTGTGACAAGTAGTTGCGTGTACTCAAGGCCCTCCCCTGAGCGACCAATAGACTGATAGCACTGCCTCAGTACAGCTCCCCAGCGCAGTCCTATTACTGAAGGCCCTGCATCAGTTTTAGAAATGTGATAATGTTGTATTGTGGTGGGGCAACGAAGAGAGGGGCATGCGGCCGTTGAGTTTAAATCGGTATGAGGGCAGGTACGGCAATGTTTCGATGTCAGGAGACACGGATTAGGTGTGCGATCCAGA